GGTTTTGAAATAGTCTGAAGATCTCAAAAGGGTACACACTGGTGTAAATTCACTTATGCCAGGTATTTCTCCACTAACCTCTCTGATGATACATCCAGGGTTTTATAACTAAGATAGAATTGTATACTTGAAAAACAAAGTTTTATACAGAATAATACATGTTTATAAAAAAATTGGTAACTTACAGTCAGGAAGAGGTAGAGCAACAATTGGACTATAAAGTACTGTGGCTACTGTGGTCTCAGGAAATTACATTTCTGTGAGTTAAGAGGATGATACAATTTGTTAAACACTGCCTGCTATCTAATTCTGAGAAATCAGTCATCCATTATTTCATGCAATCTGAAGGAACAATATCAAAAATATACTTGGGTTTGTTGGAAACCAATATAAGTAACCTATATTAGACTGCAAAGAAGTTTGGGAGCCAAATTCAGGTAGGCAATTAGATGATGCCATATGGCAATCCTTGAAGAGATCCAAGGAATTCTTATCAGCTTCAATGCAGGAATGATAAATTAAGATTTTACATTGTGGGCATTAAACCACTGCTTTTCCATCTTTGGTGGGTGTGTGATAAAGTTTCAAAAGTTTGGAAGGAGATCTCTAATAAAATAATAGCAATGGCCAAGCAAAGAATTGAATTTTTACCTAGTTTAGGCTTGCTACATATATTTGACGGAAGGAATAAAAAGTTATAGTGCAAGAAACTTATTCTTTACTTGCTTTTAGCAGCAAATTTAATCATTGCCAACCAATAGAAATATTTAGAAAACCTCTAGCTTGAAAAATGCTTTGATGAGGCCTGTTCAGTAGCCCTCTGACAAAATTCACTTGCCCTAAAAACAAAGAGGGAAATCATTATTTTATCACAACTGGCAGAATTGTACCTGTTTTATAAAAAATAATGTGAGGACCCTTCAAGGTATATGGAAAATTTAAATTTATTATTTAAAATAACAACTATTTGGGTAATGCTATTTAAAAAATAAATAAATAATGGTTACACACCCTTTCATGACCTTTATTAGGTTACCTTTATTAAAAGTATTGCCCTACTATAGTAGTTAAATCTTTGTGGTCAAGATCTAATATAGCTATCATTATTTTCTATGCTTTAGCAGTGTGCCATACTAGAAGACAAGGATGATTTGGGTATCAAGTCTTGACTTGACAAGTGATGCTTACTAACATGTCTCTATTTTTGCTGGTGAAATGTCAGTAATTAAGTTGCTTGCTCGCTTTCCCCATGACTTTCCAAGCAACGTGCAGGATGCCTGTTAAAGAAACAAATGCTCAGGGACAAGTAATTGGGGTGGGGAGGGGGGAAAGGGGTGAGGGGCTTGACTCACGACTAGTGGCCAACAGAAGTATCAAATCTTGCTCACTTTAACAGTAAGAACAGACAGAGGGTTCAATTATAAATGGGAATACAGGTTGGATACTTCTGAATGTGTGTAGAGCTCTTTCCCTTGATAAGAAATCTGTTGAAAAACAATCTAAGGTGCCATGTCTCAGAATTAATCTTGATGTCATATATTATAATGGTGTCATATGAATAAAAGACAGTTAATAAAATGACTCCTCTCCATGGAAGGAATTTTTCCCTTGTCTCTGCTGACAGTTATGGGGGACTCTGACCTCTAGTTTTCCGTACTCAAATTTAATCAACCAATATAAGGTGGTGAATTGCTGAATTGCCTTGGAAGTGACAGGGAGTGAGATAATATATTGGTGGTCTCACGAAATTCATTCTGAAAAATGTTGATCAGTCACTTCTATGATCCTCTTCCAAAAGGGTGGAGCATCACCATCCCACAAGGCACAGCCTCCACAACAGCATTACATTTTCAAGGCAAGCTCCTTCTCTCATCGGGGGCAATGGATAAGTATGAATAGGCTCAAACATTCTTTGGCTGGCTTCACCCAGTATGTTAGTGTAAAGTGTGCAAAATTAGCCCAGTTGCTTGGGCTCACACAACACACTGAAACATAAACTAACCTCAAGAGCTGCAAGCTAGTCAACCACAGTTTGAGTTAGTGGGCTGTGTGAGTTTAGTCACCCTGAATTTGTATGCAGTTGAGCCACAAGGACTCTGTTGGAATTTTCTTTAGCATCTCACCCTTCTGTTCTAGCCTTTGGCCAACAGAGTAGACTTCTGATTAAACAGAATGTGTTTAAGTAGTAATCTTCTCTAGAAATGTACAGCAGAAGTTCTAAAATATAATTCAGAATTTTGCACGGTTGTCAAGCAAGCAACTGGCAATACAGGAGAAAAACTGGAGAATCAGAAGACACAAAGATCTAGTAGCCAGCCTCTGAACTGAATTATCTGCAATACTGTAGTGATGCATCACTAGTGACTTCTGTTTCTTCTTGGGCCCTCCATTTGCGCTCTTTCCCCACAGGCTTTAAAGCTCCCCCCTTTTTGGAGGGGTGAAGATTTGTGTGTACGGGTTGCACACTTTCCCCTCTTTTCTGGATTGAAAAAGTTTGCTTGTCCATGGCACACATAGCTAAGAACTTTGTTAAGTCTGTCAAAAATAATTAAAAACATAGGTCTTAGTTTGTTAGTTTTCCCCAATAGCACATTTGCAAAATTACCCTCTCTTTCATTTAGTAACCAAAAATCCAGCCATAGTCAGTTGCTCCTCCTTGTCTGCTTCCATCCTTGTTCTATTACAAAATCTTGGTTTGTGACCCATCCACTTTTTCTGTATGTGTGGTCAATATTGTGTGAACAAATCTAGATGTCCAGACAGAATTTGATCTGCATTTCAGAGCCCCCTCCCCTATGAAAAGGGGCTTATGTCTGGTCGATATTCACAAGGAAAAGCTCAGAGACAGCCTGAGCAGAGATATTTTAATTGGTTTGCTCATTTTGACAGAATAAAATAACAGGCGACATACATTCCGTCATTGCCTTTAGCAGGATCTTAAAAATATAGATTACATAAGTAATACTCAGGCTGAGGTAGTTTGATTACCAGTTCGATCCTTTAATTCCTCTTCAAAGCCTTGCCCTATCTTGTTTGCACCTTTTCACACTGCCTCTGAGGAATGAGAAATTGAAAAGGACATAGAAATGAAAGTTTACCGTAGCAAGAAATTAGTGAAAGGGGGAAACCATACCGATTCATATCTTGTCGGTGTAGAAATCGGCATAAACTCTGAGCAGAAATGAAAAAAACCTGCACTGAACTTCTTTGAACTGATAAAGGCCATTTGTGCGCGGAAAGAAACCTTTGCAGAGTGCCCGGATAGCTCAGTCGGTAGAGCATCAGACTTTTAATCTGAGGGTCCAGGGTTCAAGTC